CTCGTTGACTGACTACACCACAGTACGTGTTCTCTTCCCCTCTTGGTGGCGTGTAGTTCGCCAAACGAACATGCAAGAGAACAGAGATGAAAAACTGCTTACATGAAAGTGGTGGTAGGGCCTCATCATTTTTACAGCAAGGGTCTGTTTTTTTTTAAGACGTTTTTTTTTACTCCTCAAGTGTTAAGAAACCGCTTTATGGGCTTTTCACACAAATTTCCCTTGCCATAATGTTTCCATGAGTATAACAACTTTGACATTAACAATATGGTTACTATTAACTTAGAGTTGTTTTCAAGGCAACTGGTTCATTGACCTGTAGAATGAATCCATGTATGGAAGACTGAGGAGGTAATGTCTTCACTTTGCACAAGCGTGGTCCATTTGATGATACATACATTCTATACTACATACTATTCAAATGTGGCATAGTCCTTTTCCCACCCTCCATGTAGCATGACGTTTGCTTATGAATGGTTTATGAAGTATCTACGAAGACCTTATGAAGGGTCATTGAAGGCTTCATAAAGCCATTGAAGTTGATTCCAACAGAACCAGTTCAGTGCCACTTGGCCCATTTTTCCAGGCATCAGTCAGAACTGAGTTGGTAAGTGTGCTCATAAAGACCTCCGCCTGGACAGCAGTCGCTCTCTTCAGTGGTGTTTCCAGGAAAGATGGTGTGAGAGTTAAGATAGTGTAACGGTCAGTGTTATCCAGCATTCTTGGGACGTCCCTAACCTTAACCCTTACCCTAACCTTAATCCTACACCTAACCCTAACCTTAACCATTTTTAAATTTCAACTTCAATGGGGTAGGGATGTCCCAAGGTTTCTGGATAGTACGAACCATAGTGTAACTGTCTGTAGGAACTGTGTATATCTGTTCCTGTCTATTCATGTTCTGTATTATGTCATGTTTTGTGTGGACCCCAGGAAGAGTCGCTGCTGCTATAGCAACAGCTGATGGGGATTCTAATAAAATACCCACACAAAAATCCAAGAGGAATGTGTTATGGGTATATGACTAGATAATGACTAGGGCTGTCTCTATGAACCTGCTGAAGACACAGTACATAGAGATACTGTAAATAGTAGTAGAAGGAAGGCTAGATCTATGGCTGAGTGAGGGATCTTTACATTCTATTATTCTACACTAGGTGTTCTATGAGAAACAACACAGTCAGAGAGAGGTTGACTGTTTTTTAGGGTTTTACTGAGTGAATCATGCTGCCTGAATCAGCTCCAGGATCCATAATAATGGCCATTCTATCCAAAGACATTGACTGTTGTCTTGATTGATATTTGTAGCCATCTTAAACCCAAATTCCAAATCGGTGTACAAAAAAAAAAAGATAAGGTACATCAAAATGATATCCCGTTAATCTGGTATTTGTTTACCCAGGGGTCTTGCTGTTCGGTTGGGGTAATTACAGTCCCCCTATTGGTCCATCAGCCGGTTGTGCAGGAGCCAATCCCGGAGCGTGTAACAGCATGCTCCAGAAATACGACATGCCTTTTGGTTTTTCATTATCAAGAAGCTCCTTAAAAATGCTGCCCAGCGCTCCTCTCCCATACAAGGGAGCAGAAAGGTAGGGTGTAGACACAGTTCGGTTCGCTACACCCCCCGAAACCAATCAACCCAGAGAGCCACTGGCTCCTTCAGGGTCCCAGGAGGGCAGAGCTTCACTTGAACAACAGGTAAGTCATGGATTCCAATGCTTGTAAATAATCAGAATAATGTATTACATTTGTAAAGCGCTTTTCATTATACAATAATGAGCTCAAAGTGCATAAATGTGTAATGCTTGCTAGATGTATAATGTATGCTAATGTGACTTTTATATACAGTTAATGTAAACTGTTTACATAGCCATGGCTAAAGATGGGCTTATTTAGTACCAAGCTCTTTGTGTGGTAGGTATTCTAGTGTCAGTCAGTAACTACATGCAGAGTTTATTTCAGAATCTACAATGATTCAGTCGTTGGTTTGGGAGCAAAGCTGGAGATGGATTTTCATTATAACAGATGGAGTTCTATTCTGTCAAGTCAATTGCTCCATCAGTGGTAAAGTCAATAGAAGAATAGCAGGAATACATAGGATGCCAGTGAATTACATTTGAATGCCTTTCAAGATATTGCCTTAGGAAAAACTGTATGGTCTAGTCTGAGCAAGACAAGCTGGCTACATGATATTGTTTTGCAGAAAGTTAAAAGATTTTTTTGTTGAAGTTACTAGCCTTTGGTGTTCTCTGATTAGTGCAACGCTCCAAGGTCAGCTGTTGTCAACCTTCAACCTTGATAGAATAAACAAATTAGGATGATTAACCCTTTACAGGACAATGACTTGGGCCTGTATAAACAATTGTTTACTGCAAAGTTTATGAATTTACATGACCATACACAAGCAGACATTTTGTGAGCTAGAGGAGCCGTTCAGTACTGGAAACTATTGTTAAATGGTACAGGTGCTAAAAGGAGCACGCCATTAGATGGGTTAAAAATATCATTACACTTCATAATACGTTTTATGAGTAAGCCATTATAATAATAAATAATAATATGCCATTTAGCAGACGCTTTTATCCAAAGCGACTTACAGTCATTATAAATGCTTAGAAACCTTTATATAAATGTTTCATAAACATGTCATATAATGTTATGTTATAAATGTTTATGAATTGTATTACTTAGAAATGCTTATAGGCTACATGTTTATAAATGTTTACAAATTAGGAAATATTCATTTGTTATTGGTATGAGAACTACTTATTAATAGTTATTTAATACATTAACATTTGTATAAAGTCTCACTCATTTTAGCATGTTCAGGAATAAATCTCACCCTCTCTCACCTGTTCCTAAAAAAGACTCAATATTCCCAACTTCGCCGTCAGGAGACAGACAAAGCTGAAAATGGCACGGGCAGGAAGACTAACGTTTTCCCTGATCTACACTGGAATCCTCCTAATGTTATCACCAGGTGAGTGAGACTGCCGTGTTTCAGCACTTTCTGACTGATTGACTGACTACAAGCTAAAATAGATCACTTTATATCAGTCGCTTTACTGTAGCCCAGTGCTTATTTTGTCAATCGGGATGTGCTGGTAGAAAAAGTGAGCGCTAGAGGGGGTGGACCTGGGGAGCTCTGATGTACCGGAAGCATAAAAAAACCTTTATAATAAAGCATTGCATGCATATCATCACATTTGCTTAGTGGCATAGAGCAGTATAGTAGAGGCACTTGCAGAAGTTGCACACACGGGAAAACATTTTTTGTGGTCTAGGGTCTGGGAAGTTTTTTGACTTTTATAAACGCATTACATTTTACATAACTGAAGACTCTGAGCTAACTGGGAACTCTGAGCTGGGATATCTCCGACTTCCGACTTCAGTACGTTCAAGACAACTGGGAATTCAGGAAAAAACGAGCTCAGACTGGGAAAATTAGTTTTGAACAGTCATCGAACTCTGAATTCCAAGTGGGGAACTCTGGCCTCTTTCTATCACTCAGACTTTCCGACCTAGATCACTGATGTCATGATTCGACCACGTTTTTTCCGAGTTCCCAGTTGTCTTGAAAGCACCATAATACCACACAAACGATCGAAATGACAGGCTACTTTGACACTGAGATTCTGATTTCAATGAAAACGACCTTGTCTTGAATCCATCAATAGCCTAGGAGTGTGGAGACATATTATATGCTTCAATATGAGGAGGGAATTACAGTCCTTAAAATGCTTTCCAGTTTCACTGACTCACCCAATGATGTGCAGCTCACTCGCTGGTTTTGGCATAATGCACTCATGCCAAAAGCCTCTCTCTCTCTCTTCTTTTACTTTGTAAAACAATATTTGGAAGTTGATCAAATATTTTTGTAGCCTACAGCTGACAGATTAGCCTTCCCTTTTCAGCAGGCGCCATTTGCTTTCCAACCTGTGTTTTCCCGCAATTGTAGAAGTATTGTGAAAGGCCAGTTTTGTCTACATGCTGTTAGTTCACAGATTTACAGCGCGTTCCCGACTGCATGCTAGGCCTTGTTATTGGTCTACACTCCACAGCTAGGCTATTTTTAATAAGGTATTGATCCTCTGTGGCTACATTTGAGGCTTTCTCATGGTGTAGTCGGCTATTCTGAATGATTTCATTTCTTTCTGAACAGACAGCAGTAACTCTATAACTTTGGCACATTTTATTTCAATTTATCAGGCTTGCTGAAGCTCCCCCAGAACCCTTAACACGGCTCTATTTAAGCAATAAGGCATGAGGGGGTGTGGTATATAGCCAATATACCACGGCTAACGGATGTTCTTACTGTGTGCCTGGATACAGCCCTTAGCCGTGGTATATTGGCCATATACTACGAACACCCAAAGATGCCTTATTGCTATTAGAAACTGGTTACCAACGTAATTAGAGCAGTACAAATACATGTTTTGTCATACCCATGGTATACGGTCTGATATACCACTGCTGTCAGCCAATCAGCATTCAGGGCTCGAACCACCCAGTTTATAAAAGGTTTTACATTATGAAGTGCAACGCTGGAGAGATGAGTTGCAGACTCATGTCTATCAGAGCATAGAGGGAGAGAGATCATAGAAAGTGAATCTCATTCTAGTTCTGTGAGAGATACAGGGGAGGGGGGGGCGGCAGGAGAATTAACAAAAAGGCAACTCGAATTAACTTTGATGGCTTTTTATAATAATTTTTACATTGCAAAAACTGCAAGTTATTTTTCATGCTAATAGAGGTACCAGATCCGGCCAAATAAATTCTGGAAAGAAAAAGTCAAAAACGTAGAGGTGACAGGATCTGGCTCAAATTAAGCACTACTGTAGACCAGTAGATCCCTATATAATCAGTCACTTTACTGTAGATCAGTAGATCCCGATATAATCAGTCACTTTACTGTAGCCCAAAAGCATTCTACATAAAGCATCATTCATACCACTAATGGATGTTAGTACACGATAATTTATATCTACAATGTCACTAAAATGATGGGCTGTTACTTCCTACGCTCTACATCAAACCAGTGCATGTACGGTAGATGATCACTTGTCAGACATAGGGAAACACATTCAAGTGTAGCATAACTCTTTCACGACACCACCATATAAAAATACATTAATCTCTGATGCCTCGGAGCTGAATCTCTGATGCCTCGGAGCTGAATCTCTGATGCCTCGGAGCTGAATCTCTGATGCCTCGGAGCTGAATCTCTGATGCCTCGTACCTGAATCTCTGATGCCTCGGAGCTGAATCTCTGATGCCTCGTAGCTGAATCTCTGATGCCTCGGAACTGAATCTCTGATGCCTCGGAGCTGAATCTCTGATGCCTCGGAGCTGAATCTCTGATGCCTCGGAGCTGAACTCTAGTCTCATTAGTCAAGGTGAGGCACCGCAGACGTCTCACCATAACAGAACCAGCTGACGAGGCGTTTTCCCTTCAGCCATAAACCTCTGAAGGGAACCCCTGGTGCTTTTTAACGTACAGAGACTCAATGTACAGAACATCAGAATCCCCCCTCCCCGAAACATCTTACTTTATAGTGGGGGTTTAATTGGGTGGAGTGCCTTTTTGGGCTCTCTTTGTAGTTTTACGGTTTCCACTGACTTCCAGTTCGGCCCCATGCAGTAGTAAACAAACCCAGCCCCCCCCCCCCCACATTGAAGGATGTGTCTAGGGGTGTGTGTGTGTGAATACATGCAGGTGTGTATGTTGGGATGTGTCTGCGTCTGTGCGCATGCATGCATTTGTGTGTGTGTATGTGTGCCTGCATGTGTGTGTGTGTGTGTGTGTGTGTATGTTAATCGCCAGGATGCTGCCTGAGCTGTTCCTCTAAGCGCCGGCTCCTGCCGTGTGCTCCCAGGGACCTATTAGCAGGGCCAGCATTTTCCCTCGTTTAGGGAACACAACATCTGGTTCTGGTTCTGGTTTCGACTCATGTCCCTACCGTTGTTTTACAGAGTTTCTAGGAGCCAGCCCGGTGAAGCAGAATGTGGAGGAGGAGGGTGAGTGAGGGGGACTGGTTTGAATGAGACAACAAAGGGAACATGGATATTAGCATGTTCCGGCCCAGTCAAAAGTTTGGACACACCTACTCATTCAAGGGTTTTTCTTTATTTTTACTATTTTCACGTTGTAGAATAATAGTGAAGACATCAAAACTATGAAATAACACATATGGAATCATGTAGTAACCAAAAAAGTGTTTAACAAATCAAAATATACACTGCTCAAAAAAATAAAGGGAACACTTAAACAACACAATGTAACTCCAAGTCAATCACACTTCTGTGAAATCAAACTGTCCACATAGGAAGCAACACTGATTGACAATAAATTTCACATGCTGTTGTGCAAATGGAATAGACAACAGGTGGAAATTATAGGAAATTAGCAAGACACCCCCAATAAAGAAGTGGTTCTGCAGGTGGTGACCACAGACCACTTCTCAGTTCCTATGCTTCCTGGCTGAGGTTTTGGTCATTTTTGAATGCTGGCGGTGCTTTCACTCTAGTGGTAGCATGAGACGGAGTCTACAACCCACACAAGTGGCTCAGGTAGTGCAGCTCATCCAGGATGGCAAATCAATGCGAGCTGTGGCAAGAACGTTTGCTGTGTCTGTCAGCGTAGTGTCCAGAGCATGGAGGCTCTACCAGGAGACAGGCCAGTACATCAGGAGATGTGGAGGAGGCCGTAGGAGGGCAACAAACCAGCAGCAGGACCGCTACCTCCGCCTTTGTGCAAGGAGGAGCAGGAGGAGCACTGCCAGAGCCCTGCAAAATGACCTCCAGCAGGCCACAAATGTGCATGTGTCTGCTCAAACGGTCAGAAACAGACTCCATGAGGGTGGTATGAGGGCCCGACGTCCACAGGTGGGGGTTGTGCTTACAGCCCAACACCGTGCAGGATGTTTGGCATTTGCCAGAGAACACCAAGATTGGCAAATTCGCCACTGGCGCCCTGTGCTCTTCACAGATGAAAGCAGGTTCACACTGAGCACGTGACAGACGTGACAGAGTCTGGAGACGCCGTGGAGAACGTTCTGCTGCCTGCAACATCCTCCAGCATGACCGGTTTGGCGGTGGGTCAGTCATGGTGTGGGGTGGCATTTCTTTGGGGGGCCGCACAGCCCTCCATGTGCTCGCCAGAGGTAGCCTGACTGCCATTAGGTACCGAGATGAGATCCTCAGACCCCTTGTGAGACCATATGCTGGTGCGGTTGGCCCTGGGTTCCTCCTAATGCAAGACAATGCTAGACCTCATGTGGCTGGAGTGTGTCAGCAGTTCCTGCAAGAGGAAGGCATTGATGCTATGAACTGGCCCGCCCGTTCCCCAGACCTGAATCCAATTGAGCACATCTGGGACATCATGTCTCGCTCCATCCACCAACGCCACGTTGCACCACAGACTGCCCAGGAGTTGGCGGATGCTTTAGTCCAGGTCTGGGAGGAGATCCCTCAGGAGACCATCCACCACCTCATCAGGAGCATGTCCAGGCGTTGTAGGGAGGTCATACAGGCACGTGGAGGCCACACACACTACTGAGCCTCATTTTGACTTGTTTTAAGGACATTACATCAAAGTTGGATCAGCCTGTAGTGTGGTTTTCCACTTTAATTTTGAGGGTGACTCCAAATCCAGACCTCCATGGGTTGATAAATTTGATTTCCATTGATCATTTTTGTGTGATTTTGTTGTCAGCACATTCAACTATGTAAAGAAAAAAGTATTTAATAAGATTATTTCATTCATTCAGATCTAGGATGTGTTGTTTAAGTGTTCCCTTTATTTTTTTGAGCAGTGTATTTTAGATTCTTCAAAGTAGCCACCCTTTGCTTTGATTACAGCTTTGCACACTCTTGGCATTCTCTCAACCAGCTTCATGAGGTAGTCACCTGGAATACATTGGAATTTCTTTCCTCCTTAATGCATTTGAGCCAATCAGTTGTGTTGTGACAAGGTAGGTGTGGTATACAGAAGATAGCCCTATTTGGTAAAAGACCAAGTCCATATTATGGCAAGAACAGCTCAAATAAGCAAAGAGAAATGACAGTCCATCATTACTTTAAGACATGAAGGTCAGTCAATCCGTAACGTTTCAAGAACTTTGAAAGTTTCTTGAAGTGCAGTCGCAAAAACCATCAAGCGCTATGATGAAACTGGCTCTCATGAGGACCGCCACAGGAGTGGAAGACCCAGAGTTACCTCTGCTGCAGAGGATAAGTTCATTAGGCTGGCCTCCCTGCCTGTGCCATTAAACCCCTACAACTCATCCAGAATGCCGCAGCCCGTCTGGTGTTCAACCTTCCCAAGTTCTCTCACGTCACCCCCCTCCTCCGCACACTCCACTGGCTTCCAGTTGAAGCTCGCATCCGCTACAAGACCATGGTGCTTGCCTATGGAGCAGTGAGGGGAACGGCACCTCTGTACCTTCAGGCTCTGATCAGTCCCTACACCCAAACGAGGGCATTGCGTTCATCCACCTCTGGCCTGCTGGCTCCCCTTCCTCTGCGGAAGCATAGTTCCCGCTCAGCCCAGTCAAAACTGTTCGCTGCTCTGGCACCCCAATGGTGGAACAAGCTCCCTCACGACGCCAGGACAGCGGAGTCACTCACCACCTTCCGGAGACATTTGAAACCCCACCTCTTTAAGGAATACCTGGGATAGGATAAAGTAATCCTTCTACCCCCCCCCCCCCCCCCCCCCCCCCCAAAATTGTAAAGTGGTTATCCCACTGGCTATAGGGTGAACGCACCAATTGGTGAGTCGCTCTGGATAAGAGCGTCTGCTAAATGACGTAAATGTGCCCTTGAGCAAGGCACTTAACCCTAATTGCTCCTGTAAGTCGCTCTGGATAAGAGCGTCTGCTAAATGACTAAAATGTAATGTAAAAATGATTAGAGTTAACTGCTCCTCAGATTGCAGGCCAAATAAATGCTTCAGAGTTCAAGTAACAGACACATCTCAACATCAACTGTTCAGAGGAGACTGTGTGAATCAGGCCTTCATGGTCGAATTGCTGCAAAGAAACCACTACCAAAGCACAGCAGTAAGAAGAAGAGACTTGCTTGCGCCAAGAAACACGAGCAATGGACATTAGACCGGTGGAAATCTGTCCTTTGGTCTGATGAGTCCAAATTTGAGATTTTTGGTTCCAACCACTGTGTCTTTGTGAGACGCAGAGTAGGTGAACGGATGATCTCTGCATGTGTAGTTCCCACCGTGAAGCATGGAGGAGGAGGTGTGAAGGTGTGTTGGGGAACTACATCAGATGACCTGGCCTCCACAATCACCCGACCTCAACCCAACTGAGATGGTTTGGGATGAGTTGGACTGTGGAGTGAATGAAAAGCAGCCAACAAGTGCTCAGCATATGTGGGAACTCCTTCAAGACTGTTGGAAAAGCATTCCTCATGAAGCTGGTTGAGAGAACGCCAAGAGTGTGCAAAGCTGTCATCAAGGCTACTTTGAATAATCTAAAATATATTTTTGGTTACTACATGATATGTGTTATTTCATAGTTTTGATTATTCTACAATGTAGAAAATAGTAAAAATAAAGAAAGACCCTTGAATGAGTAGGTGTGTTCAAACTTTTGACTGGTAATGTGTACTGGACCGTATGTCATACCAAAAGATCTTCAGACATAAACAGCTAACTCACTTACTGTGATACCATTATATACAAGTACACACACCCTTACAGTATACACATCCTTACAGTACATACACAAATGTCCATGTAGTGGTGTACTCAAACATACTTATGTACTGGTGTTGATGTCTTTATTTAATCTAATATGGCACTTTTTGAGTCCACATTCTCTTCTTAATATATGCTGTACTTCTCTCTATTGTTCCAGCATCTGCAGTATCCAGGGATGTCCGCAGCAAGAGGGATCTTCCTGTTCCCATGCCTGTCCTCCAGCGTCTCCCTGACTTCTGGGGATGGTACAGATTCTTCATGGATACTGGTAACCAGGAAGGAGTGAGTGGCGAACAATCCACAGACATTTTTGTTTGGAGTGAATGTACTTTTGGTTTGATACCTACCAGTTTATCTTAAAACATATACTTCAGTTTATTGACGTGTAGATAACTGGTACTTTGTACTGCGCCTGCCTCTCCACCCCCCCCACCCCCCCCATTAGCCCTTGACAGTCTAGATTGAGCCTGGCACAATGGAACCAATGGAATAGTCAAAAAAGCAATCTGGCTTTTCAGGCAGGCTCAATCAAACGCACAAAGTATTTGAAAGAAAACATTCCATTTGAACTGAGGTCTGGACCTGATGGGAGTCTGTCTCTTCCCTCTCTTATAGATAGAGCATCTGGACAAGATGTACATGACCTACCTGCAGAACAAGCACCGCTCCGAGGAGGGTCCCACCTTCAACCACTACCTCACCCACCTCAGTGCTATCTACAAGACCTGCGCCGACTCCGACAACCCAGAATGCATCGCTGAGTCCACCAGCAAGCCCAAGGCCAAGGTGGTGATGCCCGCGCCCATCAAGACCGCCACAGTCGGAATGTGCAACCCATATATCGACCCCTACTGCCTCTTCCCCATGATCCCTAAGATGGCTGCCCCAAATCCTCCTCTGACTCCAGCCCCGGCTCCGGTCAAAGCCGCCCCAGTGCCTGTCCTGAACCCCTTCCTGCCGTACCCTCTGAAGACCCCCACAGGGTTCTACTACGCCCCAGTCCTGGAGCCCTTCCTCACCGCTGAGCAGAAGACAGAGCTGCTGCGTATCTGCAACCCCGACGACACAGAGTGTCTGCAGTACCACCTGCGCGCCGCCTACGGCTACAGGCCCGCTCTTGGACCCGCCCCGTCCTATGCCTCCCTGGGCTGCGATCCCACCAAGGACCCCTACTGCCGGCCCCAGCTGGTGAAGAAGGCCCCCTCCGGCTTCTTCCACCTGTACCCCACCTGCGACCCGGCCACCGACCCCCTGTGCATGGCTAGCGTAGCAGCCCCTCCTCCTGCCCCCCTGGAGACCCCCAAGGAGCAGCACTGCAACCCCCTCTTTGACAAGGGCTGCAATCCCCTCACCGCCACCAAGCTGGCGGGCCTCACCAAGCCCGTCATGGAGTACACGCCCAAAAACGTACCGGCGCTAGCCCCCGCCCCTCTGGCGTGTGACCCGCGCTACGATCCATACTGCCTGCTCGGTGCCGCCGCCGCCCTCCGTAAGGCCCCCCCAGCGCTGCCACAGTTCCAGATCCGCTCCCGCCTGGGCGTCCTCGGGAAGACCAAGGAGGGCCATAACTGCTACGTGCACTACGACAAGGACTGCACTCCTGTGGAGGCTAACGACGAACCCAAGGCCCCCGCCACACCCCTGTGCCATCCCTACGACTTCACCTGTAACGGCATGTCCACCCCAGCTCCGCTCACCGCAGAGGCCGACACGCCCAAGAGCGGCGTGATCCTGCCCGATCCCGACTGCGACCCCGAATACGACTACAACTGCCGCCTTCGTCGTGCAGAGGACTCCCCCGCTGTGACAGAACTGGCGGCCAAGGAGCCCAAGGAGGAGCCGGTGCAGCAGAAGGCCGTGCCCGAGTACGCCGTCCCACAGTTCGAAGACTTCCTCAGGAGCTACATGGCCATGGGTCAGTACAGGAAGAAGTAAATTAAAAAACACACAACGTCACACAAATGTCAACTAGACGCCAGATCACTAGAGAGAAAATGAGACAAGTTAATGTGTTACACACACACAGACACACACACTCACACACACTCACAGTCCTCCCAAGTTGCTAACATATCTCCCATGGTCCATTACTGCTAAAGCAGGACGACTAGTGTCTTATCAACAGGAAGATCCAGACCTGCAATAGTGAATCAGATTTGCTCAGTTACAGTGCCTGAAGGTGTATCATTTTACTGTCAGTGATATACTGTCAGTGATATACTGTCTGTGATATACTGGCTGTGATATACTGGCTGTGATATACTGGCTGTGATATACTGGCTGTGATATACTGTCTGCGGGGAACCCAACATGAGTCCCTCTAGGTTTTATGGTCCCATAGAAGTCTGTGTGAAAGGTGCGCATTAAAAACTATGTTTATCTGTAGAAGAAAATCCTCTGTAATGTGTTTGTAGAATAGGGGTAGCTAGCATACTTGAAGACTGTCAATATGTTGGTATGTTTTCTGTGGTTGTACATTGTCAATTTCCAGTGTTTTGTGAACATAGTCTATCTTGAGTGTATTTAATGTTGTTTTCATAGCTTTTCTAAAACCTGTCAACCTCAAACCCTTCCCCTGGTTAGTTCTTTTTTAAAGTTCCAAATAAAACGTTTTGAAACAAGCTGCTATTTTTCTTATGGAAACATGCATTAATACCCACAGTACACAATGACGTAACCGATATATCACAGTTTCTCTGATACCGTGTGAATACTCACATGAAAACACAGTAAAAAGCCATTGCTGTCTGAAATGTATGTCATATTAGCAAACGTTCAGCATTTTAGAGATAAGAATATTCAGCGCTGGTCATCCCCTGAATTCACCAGTGGTGTCAGCAGTGGGATCCAGCGGTGTGTGGAGGCCATTGTAGTCGTATCCAGGAAGTCCGAAGAAGTATCAATATCACGACATGGCTTTTCTTACGACTGAAAGCTGACTGAAACATTATATAGACTCAGATGTAGAAGACATAACACGATTTTCCACTCAGCCATGGACTCATATTATTTACACATATTTCATGGTTTTCTTATACAGTGCCCTCCATAATTATTGGGACAGTGAAGCATTAAAAAAATGTTTGTCTCCATACTCCAAAAGTTTGGATTTGAAATAAAAAAATGGCTATGTGTTACAATGCCGACTGCCAGCTTTAATTTGAGGGTATTTTCATCCATTAGAGGTTGACAGTTTAGAAATTACAGCACTTTTTGAACATCGTTTTTCCATTTCAGGGTACCAAAAGTATTGGGACAAATTCACTTATATGTGTATTAAAGTAGTAAAAAGTATTTGGTCCCATGCTCACACCACTCAATGACTACATCAAGCTTGTGACTCTACAAATGTGTTGGATGCATTTGCTGTTTGTTTTGGTTGTGTTTCAGATTATTTTGTGCCCAATAGAAATATATAAATAAATGGTAAATAATGTTGAGTCACCCCCCCCCCCCCCCCCCCCCAATGTCTTGTCTGTGCGTCTACCTTTCTCACTCAAATTTGTCCCAATACTTTTGGTCTCCTAAAATTGGGGGACTATGTACAACAACTGCTGTCATTTCTTAACGGTTCACCTGATATGGATGATAATACCCTCAAATTAAAGCTGACAGTCTGCACTTTAACCTCATAGCCAAAATAATAACAAAATGCTTCATTTTTTTTGTGATCCAATTGACATTTTTAGTAATTTAGCAGACACTCTTATCCAGAGCAACTTACAGTTAGTGAGTGCATACATTTTTCATACTGGCCCCCCGTGGGAAACGAACCCACAACCCTTGCGTTGCAAGCGCCATGCTCTACCAACTGAGCAACAGGAGGGGCAATGTCCCATTAATTACGAAAGGCACTGTGTCTTGGACTGGACTGAATTGCCAGAGCTCCATCCAGCCCTCATTAAAGTGCTGAAACCAAATGAACGTACAGTTCAGTATATTACAAACCTTCTGACTGAGAAGCATAGAAGGAAAATACAACAACTGAATGAGTTTCACAGGTATCAGTTTGCTTTAGCTGCTGCCGTCTTGTTTTTCAACTGTCACCAGACGGAGCACACACACTGGGTTCAGGTAGTCATTACATTCTCCCCTGCTTGCTACCTGCTTTTAAAACTGTCAGCAGCAGTTGGCTACACCTTGAGGCCAATGTGTGCTTCTGGAAACCAGTGGAAATATGCCCTGAATTGCAGGTGTCGTCTTGTAAATATTTGGTTTCTGGTGTTTCTGCTGGTTGAAGAGAGTTAAGACCCACTCGGCTAGGGAATGGACTACCGATGCTACTTTAGATTTACTGCTCACTGAAATCAATTTTCTCAAAAAGGTTTTAAAACAGCTTTGGGTAAAACAGCTCTGCAGTTTTATCTTAGTTTTCACATGTAGGGCCGTGTTCCCACACATTCATTAACCCTAGTCCTGGACTACAATACATTTTCAATGGAGAATCTCTATTGGGGACCTCCTCCATGTTCAAAAGAACTCAGCTGTGTTTTAAACAAGGCTATGGGAACAGCTATGAAGTGAAAGGAAGAAATAAAGATAAAACCCATTTGTTGATTTGTCTTTTATTCTCTGGTTTGAACAACACAAAGACAGAAATAGCATCAGAATATATAAAGCACAGTCACAGATAGAAAAATTAAACATTTGAAATCAACAAATAAAAGCAAGGCAGTGGCTGCCAGTACAGGCCTGGAAGGCAATGGGTGTGTACGAAATCTGTCATCATACTATATACTATTTAGAACGTACTGTTAAGTAAAAAAGAAATGCAGTAAACAACAAATATAAACGTATTAGGATCATACATACTAGGATCATACATACTAGGATCATATATACTAGGCTCATACATACTAGGATCATACATACTAGGATCTAGGATCATACATACTAGGATCATACATACTAGGATCATACATACTAGGATCATACATACTAGGATCTAGGATCATACATACTAGGATCATACGTACTAGAAACATGAAACATATGAACTCAACAAAACTGAGCATTATCTCGGCTTTTACACCACCATCATACTCCTCCTCTTCCTCATCATTATCCAGTTTGTATTCAAGTTTGATGTACAAACCCTATTTTAAGGAAAATATGAATATTCATTTCTATTAGTTATGTTTTGTTGTTAATTTCCATGTCTCCTCTTGGCCATGATTCAATGACAAGTGGAGTATTTTATAAATGGTGTATTTGTATCAACACCGTCATGTACTGCACACCATTTATTTATTTGACTTTAGTAGGCCTTCAATATACTTTGCTAACGCTTCATGTAAAGATGACATTGTTTTCTGTAGATGTGCTGGTCTATCATTTTGTAATAAAAAAATGAAGCACTTTTCTGTCCCAGACTGCTGCTTTATGACGTGTATATTGGGGGTATTAGTATTTAGTGAAATTGACAGTGTCCTTGAATGGAGACTGTTAACTAATTTCAGACTTTTGGAAAATGACACCCTGGCACGTTGATAAAGAAATGACATCAACAATCCAGCAACATCTTTACTTTCATGAGTCATGTCCAGTCTGATCTGTCCAAGGAAAGGAAAGGGCTTTGAACAAGGGTAATAAACAGTTCCAACAAATAGGTTTAGAAACCATAAATGGAGTTTTGGACAATTCGGGCCTTATTGCCTAATTATGAACAAGGGTAATAAACAGTTCCAACAAATAGGTTTAGAAACCATAAATGGAGTTTTGGACAATTCGGGCCTTATTGCCTAATTATACCAGTCCCATTCAAATAGGGCTCAAATTCTCACTGTACAACACATCTGTCCAGGTGCTTTATCTCTTCCTCATGCGTCTCTTTCAATTCCTTGATTTTATCAGTCAGTGTTGTTTTATCATGACCATATAGAGCATTTAAAAGATCATACACCTCTTTGTTCTTTTGTATTAGTTTCTTCTTCTCTTCTTCATGTTGATCCAATAATTTTTGGATGTCATTTTCATATTTCTCTTTAAAGTTATTAAACTCCTCTGCATGTTTTCTGGCCTCTTGTTCATATTTATCCATCATTTCTTTTGTTTTCCTTTCATACTCTTCCTCCATTTCCATCCATTTCTTCTCTTCTTGTTTTCTCCTGACTTTATCTTCCTTCTCTTTCCTCATGTTCTCTTCTTCACGTTCTTCTTGAAAAATGTCCTCCAGTTTTCTTAGTCTTAGTCTCTCCTCCTCTCTTCGATTTTCATCCTCTTTAAATCTTCTTTCCTGTTCCTCACTACGTTCTTTCTCCCACTGATCTTGCTGCATTTTCATTTTGTCTATCAACTCTCTCCACTTTTCTTCAAAGTCTTTTTCTATTCGGTCTCTTTCTTTCCACTCTATTTCTCTCCTCTTCTCTTCTGATTCCTTCATCTTTATTTTCTCTTGTTCCCTCTCTCTTTCAAACTCTCTCAATCTCCTCTGTTTTTTCTCTTGTTCTCCAAGAGTTTCTACCTCCTTCTGTCTCCTCAGCCTGTCTTCTTCCTGTTGTCTGTCTCTTTCTTTCTTCAACTGTTCCTCCCATTCCTCTTTTTCTCTACGCATGACCTCTTGGAGTTCTGTTTGACCTTCCTCTATTTTGCTTTGCCACTCTTGTCTTTCTTTCTCTTCATGTTTCCTCCTCTCATCCTCTTCTTTCTCTCTCCTTTCCATTTCTTCATCCTGTTTCCTTTTCAGTTCTGCAAACTGCCTTTCTTGATTTTTAACCAATTCTTCTCTGTCTTTCTCTTCTTTTCTCTGTTGTTCCATTCTCATTTTATATTCTCTCTCCTTTTCTCTTTGTTGTTTTTCCAACTCTTTTTTCTGAGATTGTATCTCTTTTTCCATCTTCTGTTTTTCTGTGGCCCATGTTTCTTTTTTCAACTTTTCATCTTCTTTCTTTTTCTTGTCCTTCAACTTTCTTTCTTCCTTCTCTGCTTTCTCCTTTTCTTCATGCTCTTTTCTAATAGCTTCCTCTCTCTCTCTCAACATGTTTTCTCTCTGCTTTCTTTCCTCCTGAACTTTCAATCTCTCTTCCAACTTTGACTTCATCTTTTCCATGGCTGTTTCATGGCTGACCTTCAGTTTCTCCATGTCAGCCTTAATCTCCATCTCTCTCTCCTTCAGTATTGCTTCCTGTTTCTGTTTAATGGCTGCCTCTGCCTCCTGGAACATCTCATTGGTGTAGAAACTGCCCTTGTTCGTGGACACCATTTCGTTAATCTTCTTAAGAAGCTCAGTGACCTGTGTGCGGTCATCTTTAACTCTGTTGTTGAAGACATGGAGTCTGTCTCCACAATCTCTGATCAGTTTTTTCAGTTTGGCATTCGTGCTTTTCCAAATGTAATCTTGAATTGATTCATTTTCCAAGTCATCTCCTCTAGTAAACAGAACTAGGCAGAACATTCCTGCCCGTGGACCAAAGGTTGTCTCTATGAGGTCCAAAGTGTCCAGCTCCTCTTGTGTTATTGTCCCAATTCTTAACACTATGATAAACACATGGGGTCCAGGAGCTGACAGGGAAACACATTTCACTATCTCTTGCTGAACATCTTTATTAGACAATTTTGTGTCAAAAAGGCCAGGTGTGTCCACCACAGCAACTGTTCTTCCATCAACTTCGCTGACTGCCTTCTTGCAAACTGTTGTCACAGAATCAGGGCTGGATTTCGACTCAAATTCCTTTCTGCCCAGGATAGTGTTTGCGGAGGCGCTCTTCCCATTCCCAGTTTTCCCAATCAGCACCACCCTCACGCACTCTGTGCTGGAGCACTCCATTTCAGCACCTACAAATTAAACAATAAATTATCATAAATTAATGTTAATTACTCTATAAATTGATATTGAAATCATCACAGAAGGTTCATACTGTAAAATACTTGCTTTCCCAATCACTGCCCAATATTTGTTCATCCTGTGTTCAACAAACTCACCTTTTGACATGCTGCTGATTTTCTGCTCTAAATCCTTGATTGTTCTGTTCTTTTTGTCCAGTTCTGATTGATACTTAGCCTCCAGCCTCAAGTCCTGTGCCTCCATATACATGTATAGAGTGTAGCATGTCTTGTTTTGATCCATCATTTTGACTATTTCTGCTACAAGCTCTGTCGTCTGCTTGGCGTTCTCAATCTTCAAAGCATCAAAGATTTTATACCGCCCTCCGCATATCTTGATCAATTGCTTTGTGTCTGCATTTTGTTCCACAAAGTCAACTGCAGTTTTATCAACTGGAATGTTATCCTGTCTAAACAGGACCATGGCAAAGTCATTGACTCGTGAGCTGAGAATCTTCTGGATGGTCTCTAACTCTCCTTTGTCTTCATCAGTGAGTGGACCAAAAGGTACGACCAGGAGGAAAGCATGGACTCCAGAGTCACAGAGAGAGACACAGCGGAAAGTCTCACGCATCACTTCCTCCTGAGTGAGATGTGTTCCATACAGAGCGGGCAGCTCGATGAGGGTGACCGGCCGACCACACATCTCTCCTTCTCTCTTCACACACACTGAGGAGCTGGACTTTGGACTGGACACTGTCTGACCCAGTATGGCATTGGCTATAGAAGTCTTCCCAGCTCCTCTTCTGCCACACAGCACCACGTTCAGTCTCTGAGCCTTTGGTGTCATGGTATCATGTGTCGTCTCTTCATTGGAGGTGAGGTATCTCCATTCATTCTCCTCTACCATCTTTTCTATCTTTTCAGTTAACTCTTTGTGGTCACTTCCTTGTGTATATATTTCATGAAGCCTTCCTCCACATTCTTTAATCATTTGACTCAGATGAGGATTAACTGCGACTTCCTTGTGAGTAATGATCACCATTGAGTGCTTGAAGGCCTCTTTACCAAATATGCTCAGGATGAACTTGAATGTGTTTCTGTTCTCCTCTGTGAACCCCTCAGGCTTCAACACCAGCAGGATCCCATGAGGCCCAGGGGCAGAGAGGGACTTACATTTCTCAATCTCCTGCATCTGGGACTCCAAAGGCAGAGAAAGGAAGTTGGAAGTCTTTACTACAGTTACAGACTTGCCCTTCACCTTCTCCCTGGCTGACTCACATTGCTGTTTAGAGTTGAAGAAATTAGCAGACTTAAAAGCCTGTTTCTGTAGGATCATGTTACCCACTACAGTCTTCTTGTCATCACTCTTCCCCAGAAGCACAATCCTGAGTGAAGACTCTGTAAAACACATGTAACATTGATTAACATAAGGATATGCATTTAAACAAATTGTAGTTTATCAATTTTCATATTGGATTGACTCCTGCTGCAAATTAAAATGTCAGCAATAGTCACTAATATTAAGTAAGTACATGTGTATTAAATCCTCAGTTAAGCTAATATGATGTACTACTAATACAACAAATTACATGACCCATGAACCAATGTCCCTCTTGGAAATGTTTTCACAATTGTTCTGAATTTTACAAACAGAATCTAATTACATTATGAAAAATAACCATTTTGAAGTCCTGCTCTGCAAGATGAGTAAATCATAGTTAGTCAAGTGAATAAGAAAACAGTTATCTATTTACTTTCAAATGTCAATTCTGCCTACACAGCTGTTATACTGTTTTTGCCTATCAAGATAGACATTTTGAAAACAGTGCTTCAAAAATAATGATAATTTGGACATATCGTAACTGAGCCGTAGCCATCCCACTTTAATACAGACGTTGTAACATAGTGTAAATGAGACATACTGAATTTTACCCACCACATTTTGCTCCACTGTGTGATTGCTCCCCCACAATTCCCTTAAGAAACGTCAAACCTGAAAAAGTGTTGACAATCAATACCAGTGACTTTATCTTTGCAGTCCCTTTCAACCAAGCATGATGAAACAAAAAAACAGTCATCCTTAATATGAGGGTTGAATATAAGTTGACATTATTAATGCTATAGTTCAATATCTCCAATATTAGCATTTTTCACGTTTCAAGTCCAAATCATCCTAAAGGGTCTGAAATTGATTGTAGTTCAATTAAGTTACTTTAAAATGATTTTAATCTCAGTTATCCCAGAAGTCTTACGTAATTGGTCAGCTGCTTGATTCAGTTCTGGGTCCATACGTGTTAAGAGAAGGGATTAAGAGATGCTAGAACGAGAAGCGAAACTGGAACATGGAGCTCCACCTTCTCTCTTTGCAAATAACGGCCGAATGTCCCCTCCCCTTCCGAAATTCGAAAGATGCTAACACCTGCAAAGTCGTGATTTGTTCAAATAAATGACGAAAAACCCAAACACTGGAACTCCTGCTGCTCCCTATCCTTCCTGACAGATTCTACAGTCCAAGTTATGTTTTCCTAGATCTGTCCACAAGAGACTTGGATGATTTTGACATTGAGCGCCAAAAAATACTAATATTAGGGATGTTGACTGGCATTGGATTTGTGCCACAGATGCTAAAAAGTTAGCATCTGGAGACAGTGGCCTTGTAAACAAAACCAAAGCATGGGTTGCCATCTTACCTTGTCCAAAGAGTGCTTAGAGGGTAAGGAAACCAATATATAATATTGTTAAGTTGGGGAACTATCCCTTTAATACTGTCAACTTATATTCAATGCTCATATTACTATAACTTTTGTCAGTGTGCTGTGTACTTACCAACTTCTCTAACGTTCTGCCAATTGCCAAATTGTGCTGATTCACCTTGATTCAAAACATCCTTTCCAAGTTCTTCCACAGAGGAAGATTTGAGGCTGCCATCAGTTTTCCTCCTGTGGATTTCCCCTTTCCCTTGTACCATGCTACTTGTAGTATCTTCAAATAGCTCACAGGTGAGATAGCCTCCTCCATTCTCCTTTACAATCTTGTCAACATCTGCCATAAGTTGAGCGCGGTCACTGAGGTGCATGACGTACTGCCTCCCTCTACAGGCGCTGACCATCTGATTCAGAGGGTGATCATCATGCATGTGTCCCCTCCTGTCTTCATGAGTTATCAGTACCATTGAGTATTCAAAGGACCGGTCACTGAGGGTGTCTAGAATTTGCCTTATGCTGTTTCCCTCTTCTCGTGTTAACTCCTCAGGCTGCAGGACCAACAGGAACACATGAGGTCCTGGGTCAGACAGAGTGACACACCAACGCAGTTCCTCTGAGAGTTTGTCATGTGAGATGTGAGGGTCTAACAAGTCTGGAGTGTTGATCACAGCTATGCCTCTTCCGTCTACTTGACCCCTGGCTCTCTCACAGCGACTTTGTACATAGTTGGGGTCAAATGCCCCTCTACCCAGGATGAAGTTTCCAACAGCACTCTTCTCAGAGCCATTCTTGCCGAGCAGCACAATCCTTAGCTCTGTAGCACTTTCAGACACTGTAACATAAACACAACCACAACCAAGTTAAAATGTCTGCTGTAAAACATTGTTGAAAATGTTGACACTTACATTTTTGTTTGCTTTTCTTTCAGTATAACACCATGAACATTAAGGACCATATTACAACAGAACAACATAAATGCACAACTCTTCAATCTAGACAGAGGAATTGAAAATCTGGTTGATATTTTATTGATCACTCACTCATAGGGGGCAATATCTCCATACTGCTGGGTCTCTGGGCCCCTGGATTCAAGACTGAAAACACATCAAATTAACACAAGCATAAGTATTTTATAAAGATGTTAATGTTGATTGTTGCTTGAATTGAATTTGTGTAACGCAGGGCAGTAATAAATGAGCGATTTAAAGAATAAGTGAAATAATTTTCTGAAAAGCAAAAAGGAACAGTTATAACCACAAATAGGTGCTAAGTGGCATTCGTGAGTCCAGGCACTCGTGACGGTTTGAAAGTTAAAAACCCTTTAATGTATGGGCTAAAACGTTATTAAAATACACCAACGTATATCGTCTTCATCAGGTCAGACACCCTGATTCCCCTCTAAGACCAGCTGTGGTTCTTGTGGAATAAAGTCCATAGCATCAATGCCTTCCTCTTGCAGGAACTGCTGACACACTCCAGCCGCATGAGGTCTAGCATTGTCTTGCATTAGGAGGAACCCAGGGCCAACCGCACCAGCATATGGTCTCACAAGGGGTCTGAGGATCTCATCTCGGTACCTAATGGCAGTCAGGCTACCTCTGGCGAGCACATGGAGGGCTGTGCGGCCCCCCAAAGAAATGCCACCCCACACCATGACTGACCCACCGCCAAACCGGTCATGCTGGAGGATGTTGCAGGCAGCAGAACGTTCTCCACGGCGTCTCCAGACTCTGTCACGTCTGTCACGTGCGAACAGTGTGAACCTGCTTTCATCTGTGAAGAGCACAGGACGCCAGTGGCGAATTTGCCAATCTTGGTGTTCTCTGGCAAATGCCAAACGTCCTGCACGGTGTTGGGCTGTAAGCACAACCCCCACCTGTGGACGTCGGGCCCTCATACCACCCTCATGGAGTCTGTTTCTGACCGTTTGAGCAGACACATGCACATTTGTGGCCTGCTGGAGGTCATTTTGCAGGGCTCGGGCAGTGCTCCTCCTGCTCCTCCTTGCACAAAGGCGGAGGTAGCAGTCCTGCTGCTGGGTTGTTGCCCTCCTACGGCCTCCTCCACGTCTCCTGATGTACTGGCCAGTCTCCTGGTAGCGCCTCCATGCTCTGGACACTACGCTGACAGACGCAGCAAACCTTCTTGCCACAGCTCGCATTGATGTGCCATCATGGATGAGCTGCACTACCTGAGCCACTTGTGTGGGTTGTAGACTCCGTCTCATGCTACCACTACAGTGAAAGCACCGCCAGCATTCAAAAGTGACCAAAACATCAGCCAGGAAGCATAGGAACTGAGAAGTGGTCTGTGGTCACCACCTGCAAAACCAGTCCTTTATTGGGGGTGTCTTGCTAATTGCCTATAATTTCCACCTGTTGTCTATTCCATTTGCACAACAGCATGTGACATTTATTGTCAATCAGTGTGGCTTCCTAAGTGGACAGTTTGATTTCACAGAAGTGTGATTGACTTGGAGTTACATTGTGTTGTTTAAGTGTTCCCTTTATTTTTTTGAGCAGTGTATATTTTATTTGGTTACATCTACCTACACAGCTTTTGTACCATATTTGCCTCTCAGGAAAGACATTTAGAAAGCAGAAACACCAATAATGAAAATGTGTCCTAATGACAAATCCTTACCGAGCCGTAGCTCTCTCTGTTTAATAGAAAATAGATGCAATATGGTGTATAACTACTGAATTTTACCCACCACATTTTTCTTCACTGCTTGGTTCCCCTCTTTCTTCCTTAAGTGCTACCAATCCTGAAAGAAAGTTGACAATATCCATTTCAGTGACTTCCTCTTTGCAGTCCATTTAAACCAGTCATAATGAAACAAAAGTTAATTGTCAGTGGTATTCAATGCTGATCTCACTACAACTTTTGTGTTAAGTTTTGTCAGTGTGCTGTATACTTACCAATTTCTCTCATATTGTCCAATTGTGCTGATTCACCTTGTTCCAACACATCCTTTCCAAGTTCTTCCTCAGAGGAAGATTTGAGGCTGCCATCAGTTTTCCTCCTGTGGATTTCCTCTTTCCCTTGTACCATGCCACTTGTAGTATCTTCAAATACATCACAGGTGAGATAGCCTCCTCCATTCTCCTTTACAATCTTGTCAACATCTGCCATAAGTTGAGTGCGGTCACTGAGGTGCATGACGTACTGCCTCCCTATACATTCTCTGACCATCTGATTCAGAGGGTGATCATCATGCATGTGTCCCCTCCTGTCTTCATGAGTTATCAGTACCATTGAGTAGTCAAAGGACCGGTTACTGAGGGTGTCTAGAATTTGCCTGATTCTGTTTCCCTCTTCTTGTGTGAACTCCTCAGGCTGCAGGACCAACAGGAACACATGAGGTCCTGGGTCAGACAGAGTGACACACCAATGCAGTTCCTCTGAGAGTTTGTCATGTGAGATGTGAGGGTCTAACAGGTCTGGAGTGTTGATCACAGCTATGCCTCTTCCGTCTACTTGACCCCTGGCTCTCTCACAGTGGTTTTGTACATAGTTGGGGTCAAATGCCCCTCTTTCCAGGATGAAGTTTCCAACAGCACTCTTCTCAGAGCCATTCTTGCCGAGCAGCACAATCCTTAGCTCTGTAGGACTTTCAGACACTGTAACATAAACACAACCACAACCTTATTTAAAATGTTCGCTATAAAACATTGTTGAAAATGTTGACACTAACATTTTTGTTTGCTTTTCTTTCAGTATTACACCATCAACATTAGGGACCATATTACAACAGAACAAAATAAATGCACAACTCTTCAATCTAGACAGAGAAATCAAAAATCAGTTGAAAAAAATCTGGTTGATATTTTATTGATCACTCACTCGTAGGGGGCAATATCTCCATACTGCTGGGTCTCTGGGCCCCTGGATTCAAGACTGAAAACACATCAAATTAACACAAGCATCAGTATTCTGTAAAGTTGTTAATGTAGATTTTTTCTTGAATTGAATGTGTGTAACTCAGTGTAGTATTAAATGACAAACTTTTAAAAGTATTTAAAGACTAACTGAAATATGTTTTTGAAAAGCAAAAAGGAACAATTATAACCAAGACTAGGTGCTAAGTGGCATAAAAATTCCAAGTCCAGGCACACGTGAGGCTTTGAAAGTTAAAAACCCTTTAATGTATGGGCTAAAACGTTATTAAAATACACCAACGCATATCGTCTTCATCAGGTCAGACACCCTGATTACCCTCTAAGAGCAGCTGTGGTTCTTGCGGAATACCTGAAGCGCTCCTGCTACTTCTTTACTTCTGAATACATTTTTTGTTCAGTATGTACGTTATCGCTAAGCGAATTTAATGTCATATCAATGTCACTTTGGACAATTTTTCAAATAAAATTGTTATAAACAGCTTTTATGAATATGTCAAGGTTTCTAAGCTTTGAAGGCTCAAGATTGACATGCGTGAATTAATATAATTCCGGTTGACTGACAACCCATTTCCTGTACAGCTGCTGCTAACGTTAGCTACTGTTCATGATGACAAGAGCAGTTTTTCACTGGTCAGCCCATACATTTAGATGTTGTCAACAATAAAACATAATTCCTTGTGAAAAGTGCTTTTGTACTAGGATTCTGAAGAGAAATTCTAACAGGAGGGATGTGGATGCTAAAGTTAGCTATCTAGCTAGCTACCTTGCTAGATAGTGTAGCAGTCCTCGCTATATGAGCCACATTACACTGTAAAAAATATTGTGCTACTTAAAAACATTGAGGCAACTACTTGCATTAGCTTTTTGAGGATTTCCAACATGATGTATTTTTACGTTTCACAAACACTAATATATTAAGTTAAGCATTTTTTTTTCTAACTTAATTGTATAAAATCCTGAACTGTTATTGTACATTATATCTACTTAATCTCTCTGATTAGTTACTTTCATTAATAGTGTTTTAGTGTTAAACATGGCTTTATATACAGTATTTCATCCCTTTACATTTTTATCCACTATAGCAGGAATTGTTGAGCACAGTGCTCATTCCACTAGCATTAACTGGAGGTAAAGCATTGTAGCTTGACCTATTTGCCTCTGTCAAGAGTGGCGCACATGCTCTTACTAATGGTGAGAGTGGGTGGTCTCATCATTGAATGTCAATTTGCCCGACCGTTTTGATATCCGTTCATCATGATCCATTCCACCTTATAGCATAACAAACTGTTTGATACTAATATACAAATGTGCTTTTCGTTCTTCAGACATGCATACAACATTGTGTAAAAGTGTAGTAAAGTTAAAAAATATATACACTACCATTCAAAAGTTTGGGGTCACTTAGAAATGTCCTTGTTTTTGAAAGAAAAGCTTTTTATTTGTCCATTAAAATAACATCAAATTGATCAGAAATACAGTGTAGACAACTGATATAACGGCAACAAAACATTGGAAAACGACTTTAGGCACAATAGAGCTCTTTAGATAAATTCACTCAGAGGTGGTTTCAAGTAAACACTCTCCCGAGTGACGCAGTGGTCTAAGGTACTGCATCGCAGTGCTAGCTGTGCCACTAGAGATCCTGGTTCGAATCCAGGCTCTGTCGTAGCCGGCCGCGACCGGGAGACCCATGGGGCGGCGCACAATTGGCCCAGGGTACGGGAGGGAATGGCTGGCAGGGATGTAGCTCAGTTCGTAGAGCATGGCGTTTGCAATGCCAGGTTTGTGGGTTTGATTCCCACAGGGGGCCAGTATGAAAAAAACCAAAAGGTATGCACTCACTAACTGTAAGTAGCTCGGGATAAGAGTGTCTGCTAAATGACTAAAATGTAACCGCATTCTAATGTTGACTAAGGAGTTCAAGCTAAGGGTTTTATCATGCTCAGTTCTAGGGTCTGAAGCACTGCACGAGTGGAAATTTGAAATGGAAGTTATGGAACTCCCTCGCGTGTTATGGGGGAAAAGTCCACAATGAAAATTACATTAGATGTGGAGGATGATAGGCTAAATGTGCATCTGTTGGCCATCAAGTAGGCTATTAATTTCTGTGCCATTGCAGGCTACTGTAGTCAACCATTTGATCAAATAAATATATATTGAAATGACACTATCACTGGAGTCATTGCAAAGCCATTTGTGCCATTTGGGTAGCCTACCTGAACCTGGCAAAAATATTGAATAAATAAATATAAATATAACTCAGTTTGTTGTTGTAGCCTTGTGTTATTATGCAATTATTCATGTTTAGTTAATTAAATAGGAAGTTATGAATTGTGATCTTGGTCACAGCTCAATCACAAATGTATCATTCACATTTAATGTCAGTTTCATTGTGGACCTTTCCCTGCAATGAGATGTTGGCATGTTGACCTATCAGGGGCTATAGGCTACCTGCATCTAGCTCAGCAAACCAGGGCAAAATTGAATTACAATTATAAACCCAGATTTTAGTCAGTAGCCTATGCCTATTGAAATAAGTCAATCTCGCAAATAGGACATTTATAACGGTTTGTAGTGTTAACATCTGACACATAATAATGGCATAATTGCCAGAAAATAGCCTAACATTCATTTTTTGAAGTTCGTCCAAGTGTTTCTTGCACAGAGATTTCAAGATCCTCTGTCCAACTCTCATCACTCAAACTCTCCTGTCGGATGTATCTATAGTTATGCGGCTGCGCAAACAGGATTTATTTACTATTATAAACTGGGTGATTTGAGCCCTGAATGCTGATTGGTTGAAAGCCATGGTATATCAGACGTGTACCATGGGAATTACAAAAACATACTTTTTACTGTTCTAATTATTTTAGTAACCAGTTTATAATAGCAATAAGGCACCTCAGGGGTTTGTGGTATATGGCCAATATACCACAGCTAAGGGCTATGCCATAAGAACAGCCCTTAGCCGTGGTATATTGGCCATATACCACACCTCCTTGGGCCTTATTGCTTAAGCATAGCTGTCAAAACAAGTTAAATCGACATCCATTGATGGAAAATGATCTGGAGAGTTTAATAAGGGCAATTTATATTTTCTCTTGCAACATATTCTTAAACTTGCAAGAATTATTATTTTAATGGAAAACCGAATTTTGCTTCTTAGCCTACGTTAATGACGTCGATATTCCTTCTTAATTTGCTCAATAACGTCATGGGGAAAGGGTTTATTGGATAAATGTGTCAACTCCTCCCTTGCTGCGAAAAAACATATTTTTTCCCTTGTGGGCAGGTTTTCAGGGGTCTTTGGGCTAGACAATTTATCTTTACCTGGCAACCCTGTTTACCTGGCAACCCTGTACCCATGACGCTTCTTCCACATTCCAGACACTGGCCCTGCAGCCACAGACAACTAGCTGGGCCACGATTACTGTACTATATTGTCATCGGCACTCCAGTAAATTAGTTCATGGTGAATCTTTTGACAGTGATTATCAAACAAAGTAAATTTAGCCACCAATTTAACTCCCAACTATGTCGCAAATGTGAAGTGCAAGTCATGCCTACTGATCATTATCGCATGTGGATACTCACTTTATTAACCGTAGCTGTCAAAGCGCTAGGAGGGAGAGAGCTGCGGCTCTAGCAGGCAGGGGAGGGGCCGTACCACAGAGTTTCTAAACCCAGAGATGCAACATTGCGAGACTTCGGGGAACGCTTGCGAAGCAGACTAAGTAGAACAAGCCGGGGTTTGGGGTTTAAGAAGTCAATGAGTAGTGAAAAATTATTCCTTAGTTGTTAATTTTCTCGAAATCTAAAGGCACAACGTAGATTCGAGCCGATGTCTTAAGTATTTCAATATGTTATTACTCCAACTTCGTGAAAAGTGACAAACTGTCACGTTTTTATTTTTGTCAAAAACTACTTTATATCGAAGGAGTGCTTTTGAGTTGATGGCCTGCACATGCGCAGACAACCTTTAGCCCCAATGACTTGTTTCTGCGCATGAGCTTAGCTTGCCAAAGTCGCCATGACATCGCCTACAAGTGTGATCAGGGATTTCTATTGGAGAAGGAGTTTTAGCATATCTTCATACTGTACTGTCTTAGTCCGTACTGTGATCTACTGACACAATGAATTGCACGACTGAATGCATTCAACCGAAATGTGTCTTCCGCGTTTTAACCCAACCCCTCAATCAGAGAGGTGAGGGGGCTGCCTTACCGACCGACATTCGTCATTTTAATTCCTTCTTCCATTGATTAGATATCTCCTAACTTTTGCCACACGCAGAGGCTCTATGACTGTAGACTCTTGCCGTTTTAATGTATGATTGGCACCATAAATTAAACCTCTCTCTCTCTCTCTCTCTCTCTCTCTCTCTCTGTCTCTCTCTCTGTCTCTGTACTGCAGCTGTAGCATTTTGATCTGTATGTTTCTGTTCCGAAACAAACCCGCATACAGGTGTTACATTTTTGTGAATAAACTGGAAAACAATAATATGGTGGCTGCCTGGTGAAGGCCTTCTCCTGAACCCCGTTTAAAAAATATATATATTTCCTGTAAATGACTTACAGCATAGAGTGTTGAAGGCCATACTAGACGAAGAGCAGTTTCCCAATATGAGCCACAAAAAATTATATTCTGCCAGTTTGGCAAATTTAGTTAGAAATGTAGGCCAACAATTTAATGATATGTTACAAGAATTGATGAACATCAGGCCAACAGATATATTTTTGAGGTTTTACTGCTCTTACCTTTGTCTCTGAATGATGCAGCGTCCGCCATTTCATGATTAAAATGTCTGCACTGGGACAGATAAATGTGAAAGTGAAACTTCAAGCAAAACATGTTCCTCCTACCTGTTAAAGGGACAATTCATTTTGTGGAGTTGTGGGAAGACTGCAATCTACATGTTGAATTTGTTTACACACCACTAACTTGAGCATTTGTAATCAGAATAACAATAAGACTGAATGTTCTCCACCTGGCATACAGTGCATTCGGAAAGTATTCAGACCCCTTCACTTTTACGTTACAATCTTATTCTAAAAATGATTAAATCGTTTTCCCCCTCATCAATCTACACACAATACCCCATAACACCAAGGCAAAAACAGGTTTTTATACATTTTTGCAAATTTATAAAATAAAAAAACTGAAAAATCACATAAAAAAAAACACTAACAAATAACAATAGACAATTCTCTAATTTGTAATTTTCCCCCACACTCCCATCTCCACAGAGGAACTCTGGAGCTCTGTCAGAATGACCATCAGGTTCTTGGTCACCTCCCTGACCAAGGCCCTTCTCCCTCGATTGCTCAGTTTGGCCAGGCAGCAAGCTCTAGGAAGCTTGGTGGTTCCAAACGTCTTCCATTTAAGAATGATGGAGGCCACTGTGTTCTTGGGGACCTTCAATGCTGCAGAAATTCTTGGGTAACCTTCCCCAGATCTGTGCCTCGACAAAATCCTGTCTCGGAGCTCTACAGACAATTCCTTCGACCTCATGGCTTGGTTTTTGCTCCGGAGCTCATTTTCGAGTCTCATAGCAAAGGATCTGAATACTTATGTAAATGAGGTATTTCTGTTTGTATTTGCAAAAAAAATCTACAAACCTGTTTTTTCTTTGTCATTATGGGGTATTGTGTGTCGATTGATGAGGAATTGTTTTTATTTAACCCATTTTAGAATAAAGCTGTAACGTAACAAAATGTGGAAAAAAGGGTCTGAATACTTTCCGAATGCACTGTATCAAGAAGCTGATTAAACAGCAAAACTTTGAAAAGTCTGATTAAATGGCCAATTTGGGATTGGTACATCCAAATTTGGACTTTTAAATTAATGATATAGAGCCATTGATTCTTGAAGAATATACTGTAACTTATAAATGCCTCACAAGTTTAGTTAGACTGCCGTACCCCATCAGAACCCCCCAAAATATAAATGCAACATGCAACAATTTCAGGCTCAGTGGGAAAGACACGTCATTAAAAAAAAAAGTGTAACAACTGCTTGCAGTTCTGAGCCAACCTGGATACTAAGGAGATACTGAGGGAAATCAACGAGCATCAACAGCTTCAGGCTATGGAGGAACAACATACTCCATCGTGCAAAAGCTCCGGCTACCTCACAAAATAACTCTAACCCAACCAAAAAAAAAGAAAGAGTGATTCATCTACAGACACAGAAGATTTACTTACCGTTGAAGTAGAGGCTAGTGCTCTTGCTGGAGGTAGCAGGGCTGAGGCTTGGAGTTTAGTCAGAGTCAAATTCTCACGCTCCAAGGAGAGAACAAGGCACTCACAGCCATGGTCAAAACCCTCGATTCCAACATGGATTGTCTACTCAGGGAAAACAGGGTGATGAGGGAGTCGCTACTAAACATACAAACTCGAAGCATGCGTGAAAATCTAATATTTTCTGGGATTCCTGAGGATTTATCCAATAATCCATAGGGGGCGATCAGAGAGTTCATGCAATCCGCCTTGAAACTTCGTCTTGAGACTGTAAATAAGGTGGCTTTCCACCGAGTGCACAGACTTGGAGCTCGGAGTGACAAAACCAAGGGTCCCCAACCTATCATCGCAAAATTTGAACACTACCAACAAAAGGAGCTGATCAAAAGCAAGGGAAGGGAGATTAAAGGGTACAAATTCGGTCTCAATTACCAATTTCACCAGAGATAAACGAACGTCGCAAGAGGCTGTATCCTGGATAAAGGCAACAGGGGGAGACGGGTAAGCGTGCCTTTCTCATTGTGGACAAACTCTTTATAGACGGACAGTTCTTCCAAGACAGCTCCATAACACCATGGCTGTACTAAGTTCTACGGCGGCCAGTGGCGATTTTAGCATGTAAATCTTGGTGGGGCAAAAAAAATCACTTGTGGGATGCATGCCAGCACAGCCACTACACAACACAACACTAAACAATACATTAATTGCACTATAACAGTGACAAACGGTGCCCACAAACTGTTAGGGCCTACATAAAGCTGTCCCAACAGCAGAGTCCCAACACCTTACCACTGTTACACCTGGCTATCAGCGGAGCCTTGTCTGGCAGCGAAACAGGTCATTCAGCCTCATTTACTGCCTTTTTAAAAAACATAGCTGATATGGCTGACTTTCTTAAACAAATGTGGTTTCTACTGACAATTGAGATGTACAAACTATGGCATAAGGGGATGACAAGCGGATAAGAGGCAATCCGTAATTTCGATTAAGACATTAATGAGCAAGCCAGGACGGACGTAGTCAATATAACTATTTGTTCAGCACTTTTGAAATGTACAGCGACAGAATTCAGAACATGGGCCGTTCTTACAGTGTTCTCCCTGTACACCAAGTCAGAAGCGTAGGATAAATAAAGGGGGGCATATAAGCAGACAATGAAAGCTCTTACAATATTAATTGATTACATTTCTCTAAAACAGGTTATAGGCTATATGTGCACCACCGAGTCAGAACAGTAGGCAAAATTAAGAGATGAAAATAGACAAAATTATTAGGGTGAGGCACATGGGCTACTAACAGCTTACTACACAACATACACTTAGTATTACTTTCTTAGCTACAGTATATATATCTCCCTGGCATATTACATCATTTATGCAGCAGCCTATAAGACATTTTTGGACTCACCTAGTTGTGATGTGCTCACTTGAACAGGAAGGTGGCGCAGCGGTCCTTCGTGTGCACATTTTGTCATCAAATAAAGAGAAAGAGGCCGGATTTACGATTCCGAGTTGAATGACCGTTCAAAACGTATTTACCCAGTCTGAGCTCGTTTATTCCTGACTTCCCAGTTGCAATGCTTGCAGTTAGTCACTGTCACCGATTCCTTCCAAACCACTCATTGTTGAATTTGCGATTTCCAACTTGTTGTGTAATGTTTATGTCCAATGGCCGATGAGCACCGATACGTTTTATCTATAATTGATCTTCATTATTTGTCTTCATATGACAAGGATTAAAAAGGATTTGCCAGTAGATTGTCGACTTGATTCATGATGATGACTGCTAGCTAAGATTTTGAAAGTAAGATGTTGACATGATCAGTCCAATCAAAGCTACTGTACATATTAACGTGATTTGACGTCATTTTATCTGTGGCCAATGACCTTGAGCCTTCTTGGAAGGGCACTTCTAATGTAACTCTATGGCAGGACCCAAAGGGCTAGAATTTTTTGCTAAAAATGTGGGGCTCAAAAGAGGTGGGGCTAACCTCTCTGAATGACGGGTCGCCACTTACGGCGAGGTCAGGTTATGGAAAAAAATTATGGGGACTGTAAAAATATCAGAACACTATGAAGTTTATATGTGCACTCACGCATTCAATTACACGCTCGCCTACAAATACGGACGCACACACACACACACACAATTGATCTCTCTCTCTTCCCTCACTCTCTCTTTCTCTCTCTTCTCTTCTCTCCCTCTCTCTTCTCTCTCTCTATTGTTGAGAACTTATCTATCATTTAATATGTTTTTTGTTTGTCTATCCTTTGTATTTCTACATGTTTATGTTTAAAATGGGAAGGTATCAGAACAGGGACGTTGGGGAATAACATATTGAACGGGATACATTTGTACTGTAGTGAAGCCATCGCTTTAGTAATGCAAGGTCTCTTTCATTATCATGTGAAACGTCAATTGCTATGGAATGGGATGTGTTTTTATATGAAAATGATGTTTAATGTAATTATGATGCAACTAAACTCAGCAAAAAAAGAAACGTCCCTTTATCAGGACCCTGTCTTTCAAAGATAATTCGTAAAACTCCAAATAACTACACAGATCTTCATTGTAAAGGGTTTAAACACTGTTTCCCATGCTTGTTCAATGAACCATAAACAATTAATGAACATGCACCTGTGGAACAGTCGTTAAGACACTAACAGCTTACAGACGGTAGGCAATTAAGGTCACAGTTATGAAAACTTAGGACATTAAGGAGGCCTTTCTTCTGACTCTGAAAAACACCAAAAGAAAGATGCCCAGGGTCCCTGCTCATCTGCGTGAATGTGCCTTAGGCATGCAGCAAGGAGTCATGAGGACTGCAGATGTGGCCAGGGCAATAAATTGCAATGTCCGTACTGTGAGACGCCTAAGACAGTGCTACAGGGAGACAGGACGGACAGCTGATCGTCCTCGCAGTGGCATACCACGTGTAACAACACCTGCACAGGATCGGTACATCCGAACATCACAACTGCGGGACAGGTACAGGATGGCAACAACAACTGCCCGAGTTACACCAGGAACGCACAATCCCTCAATAAGTGCTCACACTGTCCGCAATAGGCTGAGAGAGGCTGGACTGAGGGCTTGTAGGGCTATTGTAAGGCAGGTCCTCACCAGACATCACCGGCAACAACGTTGCCTATGGGCACTACCCACCATCGCTGGACCAGACAGGACTGGCAAAAAGTGCTCTTCACTGACGAGTCACGGTTTTGTCTCACCAGGGGTGATGGTCGGATTCGCGTTTATCGTCGAAGGAGTGAGCGTTACACCGAGGCCTGTACTCTGGAGCGGGATCGATTTGGAGGTGGAGGGTCCGTCATGGTCTGGGGTGGTGTGTCACAGCATCATCGGACTGAGCTTGTTGTCATTGCAGGCAATCTCAACGCTGTGCGTTACAGGGAAGACATCCTCCTCCCTCATTTGGTACCCTTCCTGCAGGCTCATCCTGACATGACCCTCCAGCATGACAATGCCACCAGCCATACTGCTCATTCTGTGCGTGATTTCCTGCAAGACAGGAATGTCAGTGTTCTGCCA